GTTGCGGTTTCACGCGAATATCGCGAGGCGGATGTAAACGAAGATTTGATAACGCGCAGTGCGACGTTACGGCATGTCAAGGGAGATTAAGATTGGCTAACGCAATTACGGTGCAACGCGGACAGCAAATGGTTACCGAATCAGATATAGAAAAAGCGAGGATCCTGCATTATTTGTTTCGGCAGATAAAATAATAATTTACTTATTTAATGATGAACAATCTTGTTTTATCTCGAATCGTTCCCTCTCGTATATGTTTTTTTATAAATATTATTAAACTCAATATTAATCTTTCCACTTACATTAATTATAGCGGATGTTAAATACACGGAAAGAACAATTTTGCCGAATCCAGAGCTGAAAATAATTTTTGTTCAAAAATCAAAATAATTTTGTGCGAGAGTCAAAGTGATTGCTATAGAATATCAAAACGTTTTATAGCAATGCTTATCAGTTTTAACATTCCAACAAATTATTTTGATGATTTAACAAAAAATTATTTTCAGATCTGTTTTTAGCAAAATTTTTAGACCTTTCAACAAAATCGTTCTTTCCGTGTAACGATATACAAGTTCGATCATTCGCGGCGAATAATTCATTTCAATATCAACTCGAAAATGCGTATAGCGTATATCGTAATTATACGGCGAAGAGATACGATTTAAATCCGCATCTCTCGGATCGGGCATCAGAGGTTAAGTAATAGGACCTCCAACGATCCGCGGAGCTATATGTATACGGATGCCGAGCGGAACGTATAGATATGATTGGACCATATTCCCCGATTCGTGCTTACAAAGTTCGATCGATCGATCGAAATGGACGACCGTGTGGTGCAACCATCGAATTACAGGCTCTCTGTCGAACGGCGGAGTGCGGCGCGGCGCGGCGCGGCACGGCCGGAGTCGTGCGTGCGAAATCAAAAATCACGACGATGACGCGATCGATCGATTATTCCGCGCCGCGAACCGATACTCGGTGCCGCGCCCGCGCGCGCGCGCACAGTATCGGGGGAATGTTATTTTCCCCGGAGCGATACAAAATACATAACCGCGGCGGAGGACTACCTGGACGGGACCGAACTCTAGAATTAGAGACCTGAGTCATTAAAGTCCCGAAGGATAATTGACCGGTCTTCGAAAAGGAGAGAGATTCGAGAGTAGACCGGCGCGGCGGGGACCTACTGAGAAAAATGTCGGTGTATCGGCCCGGAGCAGAGCCCCGCAAGTAATTACGCGTACGAGGGAGGAATATCCGGTCCCCGGCGGTATATCGGGGCGGCTCGGGAAGCAGAAGACCGAGAGAGGTCTGGAAATACCTACGAATTTTCACGCGAGCCATATGGCGCACCCTGCGTGCTCGTCGCCCGCGAGGAAAGGCGGCGACGGCGGCGGCGACGGCGGCGGCGGCGGCGGCGGCATGCCATCGCACACACGCACGCCGGAAACGCATGGGTTTAAAAAGCGAGAGGATGGTGTTTCACCGCGCGCTGCATCGCATCGGGTTCGCTGCAGCAGGCACATATACACCCGAAATCGAGTGCCGAAGGGTCCTTTTTTCTTTGATGTTTTTTCGAAATCGTTTTTTCTCGCCCGGGAGGGGACCTCCTTTCGAGGAAAAAAAAAGAAAACCTTTCCCCACCCGAGAAAAGGATTAAGTTAATCCGATCAGCGTTGCCGGCGAGAGAAAGATTGAACTTTCGCGATCGTGATTCTCTTGATACTCAATTTTCTTCTGGTTGCCCGACAATAATTCGATTTACACATTACGTGATTGCGTGGATTTCCGATAATTTTTTATATCGAACGCGTACATGTCGAACACGTTTCCCCCTCCCCTCACTCCGTTCAACGGCAAAAGATAGGGAGGATAAACACGCCTCTCTATTTTTAGAAAACGACCGATTTCTTTCGGTCAAAGACACTGCGAAAAGACTTCGCCGATCGATATGTACATAAGCACGAAAAAAAGAAACCCAACTGTTTATGACATCTCGAGGAGGACGGGTCTCGCAAAACAAACATCGACCGGTTGATATTTTTGCGCTCTCGTCCAACGGAGTTATCTCAATGTACTAATCGCTATCTATTCCATCGACGGGTGCCTTTTTTCGACGACGAGTCGAATGTTGCATCGAATCATTAGGCGGTAGATCGAGCTGATCGACGGGACTTCGCCCTTACGGTTGTTCCACTTTAAAACACAACGTGTCTATCCTCTCTCTCTCTCTCTCTCGTTTCTCTGCGTAACCAGGCGTCTCTCTGTCACCTTTCCGATACAGGCACCGTGGACGTCGAAATCAGGCAGATAATTTCTTCGAATTGGAGTTTAATCGTTTCGCAATAAACAGCAATTATCGCGCGGAGAGCGGAGGATTAATTTCGAGTGAACTTTCGTCGCTGTTTAGAACAGCTGATTAACGCAATATCTAATGGAAATCACGAGAGCCCGCTTTCGATTATGCGAAAGAAAAAAAAAAAGAAAACGTGCGAAAATTGCACCGACGAGGGACAATTTCGTGCGTGGCGGTGTGTTTCGAGAAATCAACGCGTCTCGCCGTTTCCAACTGTGTAACTAACGCGATCGTGCGTCGTAAATTCATAAAAGTCGCATCGATGAATACAAATGAGAATACGCCGTGAAGCAATAAATTTTGTTAATACTAGAGATTTATGTACTTCGCCACGTGCGCGCCGATAAAAATGTAGTTTACGGCCCACTTTGAGGCGCGCACGTTCCTTTCGACGTTATTAACGATGTATCGCGAGCGCGTCGTCGTTTTGCGCTATTTTTCGCACGGCCGCGCGCGGGTCGGGCAACTCGGCTCTTACGCCGGGAACCGCGCGGGGAAAGCGCGTACATACTCGGGGGAACATTAATCCGGCTTAAGGAAGACCTCTTCGATGCATCCGCGCAGCAATATTTGGCGGTAAATCTGTGACGAGGCTAAACAGCGCGCGCGCTCGCGCTTTCGAAATATCTCTACCTGCGCCCGCTTTCAAAATAAACAGCTTGACCCTCGTCACGCGGAGGTCCATTCGGGACCTCGGTGCCTCCGCTGAATACACGCAGTCTTCTTCTTCCCTTTGATTACGCCGTATTATTATTAAAAGGTTTCCTCTCCTCGGGAAAGAAGGGAAATCGCGCAGGTAAAGTGCCATGGCCGCGCGCGACCGAAATTCAACCTGGAGACCTCTTATATTCCGCCAAACAGAATTCCATTTTATGTAAAGTCCGAGAACGGACCCCGGCTGCGTCCCCGCCGACTCTCCGAGGATCAATTTAATAACCGGCTCGCAGCAGCGCAGGCCCACGTCGCGTTCGAAATGCAGAGCGAATCTCGTCTAATGCGGAGCGACGAGACTCTTATTTTCGACGTTCGCGAATGACGCGAGACGTAACCAGAGTTGCCGTCTCTCCGGTTTTCCTAACGAATTTCTTCGATAGACGAAAAAAATCTCCGGGCAATCACTTTAAAATTTTATAATCTTCTTTTTCTTTATCAAGAGTGGAAGTCTCTTGATAAAGTAGGAATTTTTAAAGTCAAGAATGATGACCTTTTTTTAGAAAGCACTTAGATAAGTGTCCTACAGAATATACTACTTTGAAGGTGGCAACCGTGGATGTAACTGTCGCGACGACACGTATCGTGAATATTTCGTCGAATATCGACGATATGATTTTAGTTTCTCACGATGCTACGACGTTTCAGAGATCGAAATTTGTTCGTTTTCCGCGTGAATCTTTTTCGACATGCAGCTTAAGATTTACAGCTAGTGTCCGTTTGAAAAAAAAATACCGTTGAAGTTCTCGAAATTGATATAAACATAATTATAAAAACGAAGGGTTTTCCCCTCCTTCGCTGCAAGTGATAAAAATTACAGAATTAATTTTTGACATTTTCCTCAAACGGACATTAGTCGTGTCGAAGTGAAATACAACACAGGGGGTGCGTTCCATTTAACGCTCCCAACACTCGCGAGCGTCACTCAGCCTTGTTTAACATTTGACAAGGATGAAATGATTCCAAGAGCGTTGCGAGCGTTAAATGGAACGCACCCAGGATGTCTGTTCTCTACTGTCAAACCTCGGGTAAATTAATTTTCTGAAAGCCGACCCTTTTTTTGTAGCATGGACCCTCAAATTTTCAGACCTGTTTAAAGTCCCTGACTTTTTTTCTAGCATACCCCCTGAAATCTTCAGGCAAGTTTATATTAGCAAATTTAAAATTTTCTGAGTTGATTTTTCTAGCATGCTCCCTCAAATTTTCAGACAAGTTTAAAAGTCTCTGAAAACTGACTTTTTAGCCCACTTTTTTAAATTTTCAAGCTGTAAATACCCCGAAAGAACTCTTAACTTTTTTTTTAGCATATCCACTAGCAAGTTTAAATTTGTCTGCGAACCAATTTTTTCAGCATGCTCCCTCAATTTTCAAACAAATTTAAAAATCTCTGAAAATTCCCTCAAATTTTCAGACAAGTTTAAAATTCTCTAAAAACTGATTTTTTTAGCATACTTTAAATTTCCAGGCAAGTTTCAAATTTTTAGAGAGTTGACTTTTTTAACATACAAATTTTCTGAGAACTGATTTTTCTAACACATTCCCTCAAATTTCTAAACAAGTTTAAAATTTCATGAGGCCTAACTTTTCTAGCATACTCCCTCAAATTTTCAAACAAGTTACAAAATTCCGTATGTATAGTAGACTTTTCTTGCATGCTTCCTCAAATTTTCAGACAATTTTAGAGTCTTTTAAATGCAAATTTAAAATAAGTTTCTCTTTATTGTCCTTCAATTTTTTTTCTCATATTAAGAAATTTATAAGGATGTCATTCAAATATCTTTAAAAAATAGATTAAGAAAAACGCTGAGAAACGATTGCTCGTAAAAACGAGAGCAAAGTTCTCTCGGAAAAAATAAAAATTTCTTCGCGGATCGCCTGTGATTAGAATTTTGTGAAAAATGTCCCTCGTGCAATCCCCTCGGTATTATTCACTTACCCGCGTGGCATCCGAATACGGCGTGGGAGAATCCTCATTCACAAGATACGATCCAAACTTGATGGACACCCCCGAGGAACTCGAGGGTGTATTCTCTTGTTGCGTCGGCAGCATTTTCGGGCCGCTTCCGAGCGAACTCCACGTTAACACTTCACTTCAATTGAACAACGACGTCAAGTCGGCGACTCGCATCACAATCCCGCGCGCGTTTCACCGGCGAAAATGACTCGTGGATTTATTTCTCGTCGCTCCACTCTTTCTCGCTATACTCGCTAAGATCGATCACTACAGTCGCGAGTCGATCCCCCTCGGTCGGGTTCTCTACACTCAAATTCGACGCACCTTCGCTGGGAATACGAATCCGCGAATATGATCTCGCCGCGCGCGAGATGTTTCTCCGTGGACACTAATCCGTGGAAAGAAGAACCGAAGTATATAGTGCTCGCTTTCCGCGGGGACGAAACTCGAGATATGCGAATCCGAAGGATTTTAGAGTGTCTGCCTGTCGCGCGTATTAACGCTTGTCGACGGGCGGAAAAAAAAAATTAGCAGGACGTAAAGCAACGACGTAACAAGTCTCCTCCGTGAACGCGACTCGACTGTGGATGGATGCGGGATGCGTCGTGGCGCGATCCCTCCAAGCGTGGTCGGCTTAATCTCTCGCTCGGCACTATAACGCACGACACGTCTCCTCCACCTCCTCTGCTCTGCCGTGGCTTATCTGTGCGCGCGAGAGACGCGGCGACGACGACTCCGTGTAACTGCCGTACGTATATTCGTCGTATTATACGCATCCACGTGCTCGCGCCGAAGCAGCGATGAGGCGCGCCGCGGGTCAAATCGTTATCCTTCCGTCGCTCGCGTGATGTGTGCGCGCGCGGGGACTTCCTCTCGCTTTTCCTTATCTCTCGCCCCGCCGTCTCCCGACGATGTGCCTCCGGATGATACTGACGACGTGTGCACGCGCGTGTAAACGAAGACTCTTTAATAAGACTTGTATGCAGGCCCTCTCCTCTCACAGTCGCTCGTCGATCACACGAACTGACATCCTCGCCCCCGCTCCGAAGAGAAACGTCTCAATGCTCGCTTCACGAGCGCTCATGAGCTACTGGCTGCATCGCGTCGCGTGATCGGCTACCCGTATACTGTATAGCTCACGCTCAGCTGTGAAGTGTATCCCTACCCTTCACGTCGCGGCCGGGCCGAGCCGACCAATCCGCGTCCGACGATCTTCCCCCGCCTGTCCGCTGCATCTCGTCCACCGCTCGCCTCTCGCACTCACTCCGCCGCGCTACGTCGAGCTGCGCGCACGCATGTACGCACGAGTGCGTCTCCGTGCGTAGCTCGCTCGCTCGCTCGCTCGCTCGCTCGCTCGCCCGCCTATCCTTAAACTCAATCGCTAATCAGCCACTGATGTCAGTGTCAAACACGGTCGCAGCTTCTCGCGCCCTGTCACGCGTGTTGCGTCACTTTTTTTTCCCTCTCTCGCTGGTCCCCGAGATTTTAAACGGGAGAGGACCTCTACGGTGATTCATCTTGCAACGGATTTGGCAGCAGATGACGGATATAATTATATAATTATTTGATATAACTAGATAATTATGTCAAATAATTATAGAGAAAATTATATATTGAACGGTTTGCATAATTGTATTAAACATGATTATATATTTTAATTTCATCCTATCTAAAAATATAGGCACTCAGAGTCGATACTCGAATTATTGAAAATCTCGAAGTTGGCTCTTTGCCGCGACGCTGATTGGTTCTCTCACTGCGTTTACGCTTCGTGAGCAGCTGTCATCACATTTACATTTTGACAGTGGTGCGTGTCGAAGGGTAATTAATAGTGTAATACAACGTAATCGTATATATGCATATATTGTAAACGTTGTTACAGCAAGAAGCTAAGGAAAAGTTAAAAGCTAAATTAAGACGAAGCGCGCGTGATGTCTAGTTTGTGCAAAAAGAAAAAAATGCAGACAAAAACTAAGTTGTAAAATCGGCGAGATTAATCGAGAGCTATTCTCGGATTGAAATGAAGATTCAAGTCCGAGTGTGTTTGTGCTAACAGCAATGAGCCGTATATATAGGGGCCTCGCGCGGATATAGAAAAATAAAATCCCGGACCCTCTTTAGTTTAGTTTAAAGCTCAAACGTTAGATAAGATAAGGCTGGAATTTCGCAGGAGGGTGGGCACGGATGAAAGCGAGTGACCTGATAGTCGATGTCCTTGCGTCTTCCCGCGATTAGTTTAATCCCGGCGCGCAACCCGGCGCGACCGCGAATATATCGCGTTATACCGGTTTGGACTCTCCCGAGAGAGAGAGAGAGAGAGAGAGAGAGAGAGAGAGAGACGCCGTGCCTGCGGGGGCGTAAAAACATGCGAAATTAAGAGATTACGATCAGCGCGCGGCGTGCACTTTCTCATATGACGGGCTTTTGAATGCGTCCTTACGTATGCCAGATAATATATCTTGCGCAGGGGAAGGCGTGTGTATATTGCTGCGCAGGAGAAATTTGAATCGTAAACCGTTAATTTAACCTGCGCTGCTTCGAGACGACCTCCGAATAATGTCTTCAACAGCGCGTTCTTATTTCAATCAATTTTTTTTTTTTTCGAAACCTCTATATTTTTTATCGGCCTGCGAATCGATCTCGGCGCACGCGGAAATATTGTGAACAAATATATTGAATGTTGAATTTTTCACGCGAGAAAACTTGGTAACAGCAAGGTAATCGGGTTTGATAATTTCACGGCTCTCAAGATCGCGCGCGCGTGAATAAAACTGTCGTGCGGCGCAAAGTAATTTACAATTTTTCGTTTCAACGGGCGCGGGGAATATTGCGCGTCTCCCCTCTCCTCTTCTCTCCTTAAAGAGGACAACTCGGCGTCGGTGATATTTATTAAACGAGCATACGTCCGTGCGTCGTTGACCATTGCAGCGCGGATTTCTTATCGCTGTTTACGCGCACATTGTTTACTTTACGCGGCGCGCGACAGCCGAGTTGATCGTGGGACCGTGAAAAATGATTTCTTCCTGCTCCGCGTTGCCGCGTATTAAAAGTGTTCACGCGGGCACGGCGATCGTAAAGGAGGGGAAAAAAAATGACGAGTGTGTGGTATAGACTTTACGCGTAAACAGGTTTAAGTGCCCAGTTCAGATCCCGGCTTCTCTACTCTTGTTTCCTCGAACATAATCGTTCGACGCACCGCGCCGCCCGCGCCGCCGCGCCTAGAGGGGTGTTGCATAATAGCAGTCGAATCACATTTTCCATTCTCATAGAAATTCTCCGCATTAGCCTGGCCGAGCCCCACAGCTGGGGACATTTCTACGATAATTATTTTACGGGGAAATAACGGGCCATTTTCATCGAGACTAATCGCCTATTCAAATCAACATGCACTAATGATACGATGTTGAATTATTTGATTGCGCGTTACGCATGTTCTCTATTTCTATGGGAGTGAAATCATAATATCACAGAAGCTTTCATGTTCAACCAGGTCGGACTTTTGCAATATCGTTTCACATAGAAAGGATTAGAATCCATTCTAATGACATTCTAATGTTCTAATGTATAGATTGTTTGGGGAGGAAGTAAGGAGAGGGGTGGAGGAGAAAATAAATCAAAATTCAAATAGCAGTTAGTGGATTAAATCTTTTTTTCGAGGAGATATTGGACTTTCGTAGAATTTACAAAAATTTTACAAGTGCTTATTGGTTCTATTAATCTCATTTTAATCTATCAAGTTTCATCGAGAGAGAGAGAGAGAGAGAGAGAGAGAGAGAGAGAGGAGGATTTGCAAATGTTCAAGGTCTTGTTAATAAAATAGTAAGATACATTATTCAAATCGGCTGCAGTAACGCCCGTAATGTCAATTTACGCACTCTAATTTTGCGAGAATCGGAATTATTGCGAGCCCCTCGGGGGCTCGATTCCGCGATTTACGCGCGGCGATCGCCGCACTTCAATCGCCCGTCGCCCCTCATAGAAGCCGAGATTTTTTTCCCGGCAAATGCCCCGATCTATAAATGCAGTTACGGCGGAAGGCGCGGGGGGTGTGTGTGTGTGCGCGCTCGCCGGTCGTTTCGCCTACGATATATTTTTAGTAGCCACGCCAACACGAGGGACGGGACGGGGACGGGGACGACTATCTCGTACACGCGAGCGAGAGACGCGGACGCCCGGGGCCGTCGAAATTCTTTATTTTGCGCAAACACGTCAAGAGAGGCGCGCGCTGAAAGTCATACAAATATAAACCATATATACTGCCTAACGAAACTCTTTCGGCGAAAACGACGGCGAACACGACGAGCGGCGCGGCTGCCTGCCTCTCCGTCGCCGTCTTTCACGGCTTGCGAGCCCGTCGCCGCGCCGCCGACCGCTTTTCGACGAGGAGGAAGCCTTGCGCAACGCGATCGACCCGTGAACCGGAGTTCCCATGCTATCAAATAAAACCGCATCCTCCGACGCGACGTTTCAGAAATGACGATTCTCCTCAACCTCCCGTTCGCCTCGACGCGTTCCTTTTTCACGGTCGGAATACGAGGCCGGGGATCTCTTAATTTTTGGCAGAGCGACAAGCCGTTTACGCCGCTCGCGAATATACGTCGTTCTCACCTGACTAGAGAGAGAGAGAGAGAGATTTCCTTTTTTCCTTTTGCTTTACATCACTGTCAAGGTTAACCCTTGAATGTAGGTCAGTTCAGCGAAAAAGGTCGTTTCTGCGAAACGAGCGTTATTACTCTCAAGATTAAACCGCGTCAGGTTTAAAAAAACAACACTTTTTTTCAAAAATTGTTAGTCTATATCAGTTTCTACGAGCTTAAAAGTAAGATCCTTAGTTAACGAAACGCGTCTCTTATCAACTTCGACTGCGTTCCACTTAACGCTCGCAACGTCCGCGAACATTATTTATCCTTGTTTAATATTTGATAAACAACAAGGTTGAAATAATTCCAAGAGCGTTAAATGGAACACAGCCTTCGTTGAGACTCCCGTTCGTTTTTATTCTCTATAGAAAATTTATCTCCTCTATCTCAATGCGACATGTAAGTTTGCCGAGGGAGCAGCGCCGTGTGACGCTTACACACACAATCCGCATCAATAGGCGATCGTCTATAGAGGATCAATAGAGGATCAGTACTCTTTCCGCGCGTCGGTTTCCCGGAATCTCACGGTTTACCGGCGGACAGGTAACGAGACCCGGGATCTCGCCGAGAGAGAGAGAGAGAGAGAGAGAGAGAGAGAGAGAGAGGATCGGAGCGATCGAGGAGAATGGCGAGACGTCTAGGATTCGGCGGCAGAGCGTTCGTATTTCAAGAGCCAACATAAAAGCGATATAGGTCGGCGGCGACGACGGCGGCCGCGGCGGCGGCGGCGGCGGCGGCAGCGCGGCACAGCGGTTCGATCCATCCAAGGTCCCAAACTTTAGGTCCCCGCCGAATCGAGGCGAAGCAAAAAGGAAACGGTCTCACCGGCCACTCTCTCTCTCCTTCTCTCTCTCTCTCTCCCTCTCCCTCTCTTGCTAACGGAAAAAAGTATCGTCCGGCACGATGGGTGCGGTCTCGTCGCCGCTTTAACCGGATGCTAACTGCAACTTGAGAATACTAAACGCCGATGTTGGGACGCCGCGCCGATGTGTGTTTACGAGAAGTGCACCGCGCGCGATACCGTCCGCGTACGCGCTGTACGCCCGCAGTTCGGCCTCGCCTCCTCAACGCGATAACCGCCGTCCGCTAGAAAAATATCTCCTTGCTGACCGGCATCGTTATACGATGTTGTATCTCTCAATCAGTCGTGTGCAGCCTTTGCACTATTTTTGAAGCATTTCATTTATCAGGCGTGTATATAGCGACGTATATATATCCGCGGAGATCTGGCTGATGTTATTTATACTAATTGTAAGAAAAACGTTTGATGATAGTTGTCAAAGTTGTATTTTGTTTGGCGTATTGCAATATTTAATAAATATTACCAAACATAATAATAGTAACCAGTCGTTTTATATGATAATAATTACTAAATATTATTAATATTTGCAAAAGTAAAATTAGCATTTAGTTGATTTTCGTTACAAACCGATTTGCTTGAAATTATTTCATGCGCCAAAA